TGTCCCGTGCAGGGGCGGTTCTTTGGAGTGAAAGATTTTTCAGTCTTAACCTGGTTACACTTGACCTTAGGTTTACCTGTAAGAATGATTCATCCATGTTCGTACATGGAAACTAGTCAACACGCTAGGCTCCATAACTTTAACGCTTTATTGTTTACAGTAGGGGAATTCTTAGCATACACATTAGAGGATGAAGGAGAACTTTCTTTTTCATTCGTTCATAAATCCGAGTAGCAGTTTTCCCCAAAGCATCAGAACTCAAGCCATACTTTCTAGGTTTCACTAACAACCACTGAAGAATCCTAAATGGACTGAAGCCATTTCTCCATACCCACTGCCATGAAAAAATCCCAAAGCTTCCTTGTCAATATCATGAAACCCCTTTTCTCGAGCTCGAGTAGAGGTAGGTTTTCTACTCGTGCTTTGAGTTTATCAAGTGATTCGGGTTTCTTGTTTTTTTCCCTTCTTTAATTAAATTGCTATTTATTTGCTTGGCTTCTTTTTACCTTTCATTTTCTTCCCTCTTATGCATTATTTCGACAAATCATAAGGTTCAAATCAAGACGACTTGGAGAGAATTGCAGAACAGGAGCAGAAGCAGTTCCTTTTCGAAACCCTAGTTTCTGCGACCAATAATTTTCATCTCAGTAACAAGCTCGGGGAAGGTGGTTTTGGTCCAGTTTTTAAGGTAAAAAACAATTTTTTCCAACATCTGAGATTTTGGAATCCTGAAAGCTCATGGATTGTAATAAAACTTTATATGGATATATTATTCTGATGCAAAACTGGAAATTTAAAAAGTGTATTGATCTTTGTAGGGAAGATTGAGGGATGGGAGAGAAGTAGCTGTGAAGAAGCTGTCACAGAGTTCAAGACAAGGAAATAGAGAGTTTCAGATGGAGGCCAAGTTATTGGCTCGCGTTCAGCACAGAAATGTGGTGAATTTGCTTGGATACTGTGTTCATGGAGCAGAGAAATTGCTTGTTTACGAGTTTATGTCTAATGAGAGCCTTGACAAAATTCTCTTCAGTAAGTTCTTCTCCTTTTCAGAACTTAGTTATGGGCCCTCATGTCTTTTTTTTTGTGAATTTTTGCATTGCCACAACATTGACGAATTAACAGCTAGCCTATCATTTTTGTTGAAATTTCCTTAAACAAGTTCTATTCTATGTTTTTGCTTATTTAATATCCCTTGGAAGAAATTGTTAATTTTCAACTCTATGGCTTACATGTTACCAATCGGTAGTTGTGTTGCTTATTGGTCATGACCAGTTGGCTTTTGTTAATTGTGCTAGTAACACGTTTGTCCTAAAATTTAAAAATTGACATTTATGTCTGATGGGTATTTAGTTAGTACTCCCTCCGTCCCGCTAACGATGGGACAAGAGGGAGTGACACACAAATTAATAAAAGGTGGTTTATGTGGTTGATATTGAATTGATAGAGTAAGAATAAAGTAAGAATGATTTAGAGTCACACAAACTTTACCAAATTTGGTATGAGACAATCTTAGTGGGACGGACCGATAAGGTAAAATGGGACAATCATAGCGGGACAGAGGTAGTAATATTTAAACAGTTTTTCTTCTTCATAATTTATTTGCAAAGGAATGGATGCCGAAATAAGTTCTACTCAATCATATTTTGGAGCCAATTGAATGCATCTCAAACTATGTTCATGATACACCTACTACTGAATTTCCCTAGATACAGTGGTGTCGCTTAGGGAGAAAATTGTGGTGGGATGGATAAAGCACTCATCTATATAAATTTCCACACAATATTTTCCCATTTGAAAATAAAGTTTTTTTTTGCCAAAATTGGGCTGGGCCCATCACAAGTTGGCCCCACTTGACTATGCCCATGCTTAGGTATATTTGGAACTTGTTTTGTTCATACTTTACCAGTTTCCTTCAGATGTTTGAAGGAATTTGATTATTTGAACATAGTGGTTGTTCAGTTGTTTGTAATTTTTTTATTGACAAGAATGCTCTTGATCCTAGAGTCTGGTAAAAGGGGCATGCTTGACTGGAAAAGAAGGCATGACATAATTACTGGCATAGCCAAAGGCTTACTATACCTTCATGAAGACTCACATAATTGCATAATCCACCGTGACATTAAAGGTAGCAACATCTTACTTGATGATAAATGGATGCCAAAAATTGCAGATTTTGGAATGGCCAGACTCTTCCCCGAAGATCAAACACATGTTAACACCCGTGTAGCCGGAACCAAGTATGTTTCCCTTAAGTGCTTGTTCTACTATGTTGGATTCCCACATCTGGAAAATTAAAGACACAATGAGGCACTAAGACTTTGGGTTGAACTAACTAAAGATTGAATTTAGTACTTCCTCCGTTCTTTTTTAGTTGCAACGCTTTCATTTTCATGTTTGCCGATGCACAACTTTGATCATTGTTATATTTCATTGATTATTAGTAAAAAAATCAAAAAAATATGTTTTTTGAAAATTTAACATGAGAAGAATTTAACAGTATTTTTCAAAAAATAAATTTCTACGGAGCATGTGAATAGTGTAAAATTCAGCATGTTGCATCTATTTAAGAACTGGAGTAGTATTTAATATGGTTGGCCCAAGTTCCTTAGGTCCTGTTGAGTGATCGTAACCCGATAATGAATCTTGTCATGCTACAAGACTAGACTAATTGAATGTTTTTAGAAACCTTAATTTATTTGAAGACTTGGAACAGTGGGTACATGGCGCCAGAATATCTCATGCATGGACACTTATCTGTGAAGGCAGATGTATTTAGCTTTGGTGTTGTGGTTTTGGAGCTGATCAGTGGTCAGAAGATTTCAACCTTCAACCAAGATCCGGGCTCCCAGAACCTACTTGAGTGGGTATGAATCCAATGACCCATTTTTTGAATTATGTGGCCTTCTGTGCTACTTTTTTTAGTTCCATCCTTTCTACTGTGGTGCACCTTCGCATATTTAGTAGATTTATAATTTCAAATTTTAACTAAATATACTCCCTTCGATTCTGAAACAAGTTCCACATTTGACTTCTTTGGATTTAAGGGAAAAGTAAAATATTGGTTGACTTTCCACTTTTGCCCTTAATGAGACATACGACCATTTGAAGGAAGAAAAAGGGGGAATGAATAGTGCAAGGGGGTAAAACACATCTATTCCAAAAAAGAACATCATTACAAGTCTAATCCACAATTTAGAACACCCTGCATGTATTTCGGCCATACAATCCAAATTCCCTCCCAAATTTTAATTTTCCCTCCCAATTACAAATTTCACACGCACATTCTATAAATACACATCACAAAACCTTCTTCTTCAGCCTTTATGAGTTCCATACTTCCATGTACCACTCCAACACATGGACAACTCACACGACTAACCTGGTGCAAAAAAAATGGTAGTTTTGATGTCAACCTGCCACCTCCAACTGAAGGTACTCCTCTTCTCATTTTACCTGCAGCCACAGAAATACAACAGGGAGGGGAATCATCTCAACAACAAGGTATGCGCAGAAAATGTCCCAAACTTACTGATGACCAAAGAAAAAGAATTGTGCAAATTATGTTAAGCAATTCACAGGGTCTTAAACTTCAGAGGGGCCTTATGAAAAAAACAGTTTTGGAATTCAATACTCCCTCCGTCCCATATTTAACTCCGGTTTTGACCGGGCACGAGTTTTAAGATAGTGCGATTTGTGTGGTGGAGAGTTATGCAGAGGAGAGAGAAATGTGTAAGAATGGTTGTGAACTACATATTCTTTACCAAAAAGGGAAAAAGGAGATAAATTTGGGACGGACCGAAAAGGAAAGAATGAAGATAATTCCGGGACGGAGGGAGTATATCAATAAAGACAGTTCAAAAACTGTGGCGCAAAGAAAAACAAGAATCGCAGTTAAACCTAGCAATTAATGTGCAGAGCAAACAGAAGGGACATGTGGGGAGAAAACCAATTACACTTGACTTGCAAAAAGTGTCCGACATTCCATATCACCAAAGAAAAAATGTGAGGGCTTTGGCCTTTGCCTTGTGTGTGTCACAGTCCACAGTACATAGGTGGGTTAAAGGGAATTAACTGAAAAGACACTCCAATGCAATCAGACCCCTATTAAGTGATTTGGAAAAGGTAAAGAGGTTACACTTTTGCTTGAAACACATTACTCCTGTCTCACTGCCCTCTACCCCTACATTTCATGACTTCTATGATACCACACACATAGATGACAAGTGGTAAATCACAGAGGGGTTGTGTGCATGATTAATTAAAACACAGGGGGGTTTGACGCATTTTTTAAATCACAGGGGGCTAATGCGTCGAATTTCCGTATCACTGGGGAGTTTGATGCATTAAACCCGTTTTATTTGTCCAAAGAAACCACCACTTTCTACACCACTCCCACTGAAGAGGACCCCTATTGGACTGCTGAGTCAAAAAAAATCATACCAAAAATCATGTTCTTAGCAGCTGTGGGGAGGCCAAGACTGAGGGATAATGGGGATGTATTGTGGGATGGGAAAGTGGGGATCTTTCCTTTCACTTATGAAGACACAGCCAAAAGAAGCAGTAAAAATAGACCAGCAAGAACACTAGAGACAAAGGCATCAGTAAGCATTACACGTTTAGTGATATTGAATGAACTATTGCCAGCAATAAAACAGACATGTCCAGATGCAGATAACAGGAGATTTATCATTCAACATGACAATGCAAGGCCTCATATTGACATTAATGATCCTGATTTTGTGAGAGAAAGGACTAAGGATGGATGGAATATCCAATTGACATGTCAACCACCTAATAGTCCAGACCTTAATGTCTTGGACTTGGGGTTTGTTAGGGCAATAGATGCCATTAAAGATCAGAAAGCCCCCAAAATCATCACTGACTTAATAGATGCAGTCACAACATCATTTAATGAGCTGACACCAACAACACTCAACAAGGTATTCTTAAGCTATCAATGTGTAATGGAACAGGTGATTACACAGAATGGTGGAAACAATTTCAAATTGAAACACATGGGTAAGGACAGATTACACAGGCAGGGGCAGTTACCAAACAATGTGCAAATATCTCAAGAACTGTACGACAGCAATGGCACATGTGGCAACTACCACAGGATAGACAACAATGGAAAACCATGAGTTCATGTTTGAAGATGTACCACATCTTCACACTTGAACTATCAGATTGCATTGAATGCAGTTAAGTTTTTGTAATAGTGCACATATTTTTGGTAGTACTTTAGTAGTGCACATTTTTTAAAGCACTTGTAGTTGGCAGACAATACAATGCAATATGTATTGACCAACATAGTGTACACCAGTTTAATTTTTTGCCCAAATGTAAGAAAATGGTGATTTTTGGTAATGTATGCAAGTCAAATGCAAGATTGGAATCTACACACACTGCTCATGTCTAACATAAAGCAACACAATAAGGCCCCTATCATCATCAGTTGGAAATGGGGTTCACCATATCATCACCACACATTTCACGTTACAACACATATGCACTGACATCACATTTCACATTACAACACATTTGCACTGACATGACACATATACGGGCAACACATATGCAACACATACATCTCACAAAATCAATGCAATAAAATGGAAAAGGGTTTAAGATGAGTACTACTCTTTTCCTTCATTCTTGTCATCTGAATCTAGCCCCTTCTTGCCTTCCTCTTCTTCCTCGCCGTCGCTGCCATCCTTTGCATCCAGCCCCACACTTCCTTCCTCTTCCTTGTCCGACAGTCCATTCATCACCACTCCCGAATTGACCTCTTCTCCTTCTGAATCCTCGAAACCTTGTAATCCATCGTAGGTATCAGAAACAAGATTTGAACCATATTTCTTCCGGATCCACCAGTCGGGATCTGATTCAGACGAATCCTGACTTCCGAACTGCATTACATAAAATTTCAGAGGAACTGGGCTATGAGATTCTGAAATAGGGGACAAAACTTTCGGATCTGGCTTTGGAGATGAGGGTTCGTCAAGTCCATGTAAAGGTGGAGATGATTTCGGATGAGATGGATCCATGCATAGGGGAAGTGGTAGAGGCCGGTGGGTTTCAGATGTAGCGATAGATGAGTTTCAGAGAAGAAGGGTTTGTGAGAGGGGTTGCGATGGAAGGATTTATAAGGGTAGTGTAGGGGGAGCTGCAGGGGGTAATGACGGAAGGGTAGCGACGGAGGACTGTGGAGGCGGGGGAATGAAGGGTTGCAGAAGGAGGAGAGAGATGCTGACAAAGGAGAGATGGATGTGAGGTGCGAGGTAAATGAGAAAATAGGTAGTAAATGAGGAAAATATGGAAAAGGGATATGGGGGTAAAATAGTAAATGGATAGGAAAAAGTTTCCAAATATAGAAAGTGGAACTTTATTTTGGAACTACCGGAAAAAGAAAGGTGAAACTTGTTTCAGAATCGGAGGGATTATTTATTTAGCATTGTCCTGGATTGCTGGCATTTGAAGTGCTGTCTGTTGGTATTGGAAATAGTGCACATAAATCATACCACATATCTAGAGTGTATAGTGCATTGTTGGTAGCATACTAGCATATATTTTCAGCATGACATACGGAGTACTTGTTATGCATTTCTAATAGGCACTAAATATCAGATCCCATTTGTTTAAGGGTGGATTTGGATGAAATGAATTAAGTTACTACAATTGCAGAAGTTGCTAAATTATAAAAAACATATTTTGTTAATAGACCAAAGAAAATAATATATGAAAATGAGGGTAAAGATGCTATTTTCATATGCTCAACTTCACTAAATTCAGTATTACTTTTTTCATTATCAAATATTCAAATATATAGGCCTATTCAGTATCCCTCCTCTTTTTTCCTCTCCCAGAGTCCTGAAACCGTGAAAAACATAATCCTACATTATTACCTACATTATTACCTACATTTTACATTTATAAATTGAAGGCTAAAGGGTCAAATAGGCCCCTCCTGTACCTTTTAGGATTGAGGGGGTAAATTGAACGATTTGATCGGGTTCAGGGGCTTATTTGACCCCCTAAGTTGCCACGTCACATGCACAGTTGGCACCCTACCGGGTGACATGGCGGTGACCGGATTGAAACCTGCAAAAAGTGAAATTTGAATATTTTTATCGAGTTCAGGGTGCCAATTGGAGCTTTATTGGGTTGAGGGGCAATTGAGCAATCCGAAAGGGTACAAGGACCTATTTGACCCTTTAGCCTAAATTGAATACAAGCGCAGTTTGTAGTAAACTTTTACCTTACTGCAGGTATACAAGCTCTACAAGAAGGGGAGATGCTTGGACACAATGGACCCAGTGTTGTTGCAGTCTGCCATCAAGGAAGAAGTGACAATGTGCATACAGATCGGCTTGCTATGCACCCAAGCTGATCCACAGGTACGGCCCACCATGCGACGTGTGGTGATCATGCTGTCTAAAAAGCCATGCAGTCTTGATGAAGAACCGACAAGACCAGGATACTCAGGGTCTAGGTACAACAGAAGACCCCACCGGCCTGCCATAACATCCTCAAGCGCATCATATTCTGGTACATTTGGGTCGACCATGGAGAGCGTCAGTCCTAGTGCAAGCACAACTACTCGTACAGGCCCCACCAAATTAGAGCGTGGAAAAAAACCTATACGAGGGTAGTCTTCACTTAAGTAGAGTGTAGTTATAGCCTCATATCGCTTCATTCTTTCATGTATATGGTGTTTTTATCGTTATTTAGAGCATGAGAAGCCTTTTTTAATACTAGAGCTGAATGCCTGTAATGTGTCGAACTGGTCCTTAGTTATTTGGATCACAGTTAGACAAAAACTCGTTAGAGTACCAAACTATAGGTTAATGATGTTCGGTTGGTAGCTTGGAGCTACCTCGTAATTAGAAAACAAGTAGTAACACATGAACGGAGTTTACGTGCAAGGTATTGACTGTCATTGCGTTGACTCGCTGAGTATCAGCACAACAGAATTCAAAGAATCAGGAACCTGTGATGTTTTGGAACTCTAGGCCATACTAATAATATATGCTCTCTAAATATGCCCTAACTCCTAAGTAGAGACTGGAGAGTACAAAAAGCGAAAAGGTCGAATGCTTTACTGCTTTAGGATGGAATGAATGCAAACGTAATGGTCTAACAACACCATAGATTCATACCTGTGAATAAGAGTTGGTACCCATGAGTTTTGTCAGTATATTCTATGCATAAGAACTTTGTACATTGCTGTTAAACATGGTACCTTACACTTAACAGTGCTTTTTGAACCTTTGCATGCGGTCACGTCTTTTTCTTCCATAAGGTCAAAATTTTTAACATCTCAGCTTAAAAACTCCTCCACAGTTACTTAGCTTTAGGTCAAATTGATTTTTTTTTTCTTTTTACTCTGGGGGAGGGGGGTTGGGGGTCTGGAGTAATCGGGGTTGAAATTCATTTCATTGAGTTTCAAACCTTTGTGTGCCTAGCGGGTTTCGAACTTGATATCTCTCACTATACACGATAATCTCACAACCAACTGGGTTGTAATGCTTGGTTTAGGTCAAATTGATAAATGGAGCATCTTAATGTTTGCTTCAAGTTCTTCACAAATGGCTACAGAAGGCTGGAACTTGGAACATTTGAATCCAAATCATTATAAATTCAATGACTATAAACTATAAATCCAACAATTACCATGACCTCATCATTTCATATGTTTCATCTTCACTCTCTAAAGGAACACATCGTAGATGCGTTGAATTCCATCTTCATATTAGCTACATATTTTCAGGAAAACTGTCAAATAGGTCCTTGAACTTTCATAAAAAGGTCAATTAAGTCCTTCAATATGAGGTTCTGTCCGGCCATTGCGATTTGGGGCAGTTTACGGTGGAATTTTTTAATGAAATTTTTTGAGCATCTTATTCACCAAGTCTAGTTTACTCATACCAAATTTCAGCTAAACATTCGATCAAGAACTCATTCAAATTAATTCTTGAAGATAACTGTGCATTTTTGCGTTCTCGAATTAATTTGAATGCGCTCCCGATTAAATTTTTAGCTGAAATTTGGTATGAGTAAACTAGACTTGATGAATAAGATGCTCAAAAAAATTCATCAAAAAATTCCACCGGAAATCGCCCCAAATCGCGATGACCGGACAGAGTCTCCTATAGAAGGACTTAATTGACTTTTTTATGAAAGTTCGAGGACCTATTTGACAGTTTTCCCTATTTTCATTCTATAATTATTCCACTAAAAGTGGAAACTCTATGTTAGATTAGATGTAATCGATATGGAATTATGTTCATAGAGTTCAGAAATCTGTATTCTTACGTGCGTACTCCTATTCCCCTTTCCCTTTGAAAATTTTATTTGTTACTTCCTCCGGTCCGTATTAAAGTTCTCACTTTCCTTTTTGGGATGTCCCTTATTTAAGTTCACACTTCCATTGTAGGAAACAAAACAGTGCAAAACAGTGACAAACAGTGCCAAACAGTGCCAAACAGTGCATTTCACATTAAGTCAAATTTATTTTCTTAATCTGTGTAAAGTCAAACTGGGAACTTTAATAGGGATCGGAGGAAGTATATGTTAATAATTATTCTATATCTCTAATTCTCAAATTTAATCAGAGTTCCTTATTTACTTTATGGGATACACGAAGAGATTAACTTATGGAGCCACCAGGGGAATTTATGGAGGTCTCGAGTTCGAAACCTGCTAGGCACATAAGGGTTTGAAACTCAATGGAGTGAATTTCAGCCCTGATTATTCCAGGCCCCCAAGCACCCCAGCCCCTCTGGTGGCTGAATTTACTTGGGGTTCAGCTCCTCTCCATTTCTTTCTCTCCATTTCTCCTCCATTTTCTTTTTACTTCCTATCTATCTCTACCTTTTTCTCTATCCTACTCATCAACCTACCCCACCCTTATACAATTCTGAGAAGTTGAACTGTTGAAGTCTTTGAATGCTAATGAGTTAAGAGAATGTTGTATGAATTTTGTCAATACTTTTTCTTATGATGATCTTAAGGATGTGGATTTAGATGATTTTTTCTGAACTTAAAGTTTTGCAAATGACTTTGCCTGATGCTTCAATGAGTGCAATGGATATTCTTGAGTTTATTAAAGTTGTAGATTGTTATCCAAATATCTCTATTGCTTATCGGATTTTATTGACGGCAGCGGTGACTGTTGCATCGGCAGAGAGGAGCTTTTCAAAGTTAAAATTATTGAAGACATATTTGAGATCTTCAATGTCTCAAGAAAGATTGAATGGTTTGACGATTTTATGTACAGAGAAGAGATGTTGGATGATATTGATCTAGATTCTGTCATAGATGATTTTGCATCTAAGAACGCTCGACGAAATTGTTTTTTGTAATTTTTTGTGTGAACTATGAGGTATCTCATGCTTGATGTAATCAACTTTGCTTTTATAATGGAATTTAGTTTTGTGCTTTATAATTTGAGGGCCCATTTTTGTAATTTGTCCCGGGTCCTCAAAATCTCAGGACCAGGCCTGCATGGCTGTAACTCGATCAAGTACAAGCAATATGTGATCAAATATTTTTCCTTTTTTTTATGAAAGATAATTGTATTATTCGCTCCCAAAAATAACAAATACATGTCTCAAAACTAAAGAGCTAGCTAATCTAACTAAATAGTATCACTACCATTCAACCCCCCCCCCCCCCCCCCCCCAAGAAGGGGAGTGGGGGAGAATTTTTTTTGTTAAGAAGTCAAAAACGGCACGGGACAGGCCCCGGATCGTATCAAAAACATCAAAGAAATCTGCCCGGCATCCACTAAGCCCAAAGGATCCAAAGCAATGAAGCCCCTTCCTCCAAATAGCTTTGCTCCAGCGGCCCAGTAATTGCCCAGCAGTGTCAAAGTCTAGAAGTAGGCAGTCCAAGCAAAAAAAAGTCCAATTTGGGCTCAGGGTCTAGGCCAATAAAGGCCCATTGCCCAAGCCCAAAGGTCCAGCCAAATTCCAAGTGGAAGAAGAGTTCCGCACTTTCGCACCAGATGCCAGCTGCAGCAAAAGAAGCAGCCCAAAGTAGCGACCCATCATCATCCCACCGTGGCAAACCCTAATCGCTACAGGCAGCGCCACTTTTGCGCCGCAACTCAGCTGGCGTAATTCAAAATTCAAACCATTGCAACAGTACACTGACGCGGACGGGTTGGCATGTGGTCCAATCTACGACACGCTGCCGTTGACTATTCCTCTCATCGTCCCCGGCAAAGTTCCGGTCAATGCAACAGTCGCCAGAAAAAAAATTCCCACCTCAACAACGTTTGCACGCAGTCCGTAGTCGTCCACCATAGCCCCCACCACCAACCACCCCACATGGTCCCCGACAACCACCAAGTGCAACGGTGGTCGTTGGTAAGAGCAAATGGACAGCCTCGGAAGGCGTTTTGACAGTAGCCGGAAACGATAGCATCAAGCGGTATCAACCCCCATGGACGGTGGTTTCCTCCGGCGCAACCTGAAACTTTCAAAAGAGAAAGCCACCCAATAACTCCAAAACCAGAGCTTCAAAACACAGAGATCCTGTAGCGCACCAGCCCCTCCGGTCATCGTCTCCGGCTAACCCCACAACCAAACTTCCAATTCGAAAAAACAAACATCCTTAACGATCCTCAGAGCAGTTCTAACAACTTAACCCAGCCATCTTCCACTCAAACCTTCAATTAGGACTCGTTCATCTTCGTCCCAGCCCCCCAAAACCGGCACCCGAATTTTTTAGCAGCCCTTCAGATCGGAATGAGCAGACTCCGACGAGGTTCCACCGGACAAAACCAGCTCATAACAAACTCCTCGACCTTCCCACAGTACCTAGGTAGCTAGCCCATCACCCCAGTTCGCCGGAAACTCCAGCTCCCCGCCTTCCGTCCCTCCTTCCACCAACAGAGTCTGTTAACCAACCCTCCGTTCATCATCGCCCCCGACGTTTCCCCATGACTACTAACGAGAGTGTATAACTCGCACAGGCAGTATCCAGTGAGACATCCAAAAAGAAGAAGGAAAAACACCGAGATCAAAGGGGAAGAACAAGCTAACCTTCAAAAACGTGACCATCGGCTCCAACTCTATCCATGTAGCCCAGCCATCTTCCACTCGACCTTTCACTACGGGCTCGTTCATCTTCGTCCCAGCCCCCCAACCGGCGACCAAAGCTACTAGCAGACTTTCATGTTGGGTTTTGCAGAATCCGGTGAGCTACCATCGGATAGACCAGAGCTACAACGGTCCACGAACCATCACCCAAAAATGGGGTTCCAAAAAGCCCAGACCAAACCCACCGGAGCCAGGAGGGCTCTGGCGGTGCGCCGCCGGCGGTGGTGGCGCTGGAAACCGTGAGAGGGGGGTAGGAGAGCAACCTAGAAATTCTAGTAACGCTTTAGAATATATATAAGAATATGCTTTAAAATATGTAAGAATATGCTTTAGAATATTGTAGGAATATACTCTATCATATTATTATTGTATATCATCTTTATTTACATGAATATCCTATCTTTGTAATCTGTAATTATAGGGACTTAACCCTCCAATGAAAATCTTTCTCTTCATCTTCAATATTATTCTAGATTATTTTTTTAACATGGTAGATTTTTTGCAATGAAGAAATCTATTGGATGTAAGTGAGTCTTTGCTTTAAAGGTTAATCCAGACGGATCTGTTGCTCGGTTAAAAGTCCAATTTGTTGCTAAGGGTTATGCTCAAATCTATGGTGTTGATTATTCTGACAATTTTTCTCCTGTTGCTAAATTAACATCTGTCAGGTTACTTATTTCATTCGATGCAACTCATGACTGACACTTACATCAATTAGACATTAAGATGCATTCTTGCATGGTGATGTTTAGGAGAAAGTTTATATACATGGAGCAACCTCTGGAATTTGTTGTTTAGGGGGAGTGTGGGAAATTCAGACAATCAATTGAACGGTTCAGAATGATAAAAGGTTAATCGGACCACTCCGTCTTTTACAGATGAATAAAAGCAAGTA